CTACGAGTACTGGCCTAGACACATTTCTGATAGACGTAGCTTCCCTCAGCAATACTCCAGAGGTTCATGAGAACTTTGACTAGTTTTTGCATATTTTGAGGTTTTGCGAGCATTATTCATTTACATCACTGTGTCTTTTTTTTGTTGCAATTAATTTAAGATTCTGGAGAACTTCAGAATGTAACACAGATGATATACCATCCTAAGTGAAAATATTCTTTTTGCCAAGCCAGGGCAGAAAATTCAGAGCTAGGTAAGAATATCGGGATATTGGAGCTCGGGGGGCCATCTTCTGCTCTTGGGTCATGTATGGAGCTGCCCGGCCAGTTTGCTTGGCCCGTTCCGCGGGGCAGCCATGGAGTAACTAGCCAGGTCAGATCTACCTTCAGCGGCCCTTGGATTTCGTTGGCAGCGTTTTCAAGCTGCTACTTTATTGTCTCCAAGGCATGGGTCTCTTTCAGCAGGCACTGTAGCTCGTAGGTGAGCTCCGATCTCCATAAACCGATGTGGGAGATCCTCTCTCCCAGGTTTCTTCTGCTGGCTTCTTGCATGTGATAGGTGAGCTGGTCCTTATCTTATATCAGTTTCATGGAGTCACTGTTCAGTTTACCAGCAGCGTGCCGGGAGGCTTCAAAGCCCTTCAGCTGAGCCGTGGTGGCCTGGTGCCAGTCACGGATGCTGTAGCGGGTATGCAGGGTAGAGCGCAACTCCGGCAGAATAGTGGGCGGCCGCCCCGTAGGATTAGATCGCTTGGTAGAGCTGGGAGGACGAGAACCCACGATGTGAGGCAGACCGGGACTCCAGGCGCCGAGGTTGCGGCAGCCCGGCGGGCAGTAGGACTGGTAGGCGTCCTGGGTGATGCTGGTGGGAGTGAGGTGCGGGAAGAGGCAGCCCTTCCTGGCGCCGCAGTAGCTGGCTAGCTGCGTGGTGCCCAGGAACTCCATCCTGCGCTGGGCTCTGCCCTAGGGCTGGCCAGCACGGCAGCTGCTCCGAGCAGCCCCGGGCGTCTGTCGCCGACCAGGGGCTGCGCACACGTGTGACAGGCAGAGACGTCACAGAGCCCCAGCTCCAGGCGAACAGCAGCTGAAGGGCCTGGGCCACCGCGCCGGGCTCCCTCC